ACTTTTTTCTTTAATGATGAGAACATCCAGAAAAGGGGTAGGACTTATTCTCTTCCAATTCCATCGTGAACATAATGTTCCTTTCACGCAGGTTGTGTGGAAGTAGGAAACTATCTAAACTGTCCTTACCATGAGGGCAGATGACAAAATAGTTATCCATGTATCTTACCAACAGTTTGGGTGTTAGTATTGGCTCTTGCAGGAAGTGTTCCTCCAATCTTGCCATATACTTGTTCGCTAGGATGGGAGACAGACAAGATCCCATCGCTAATCCTTATGTTTGTTCGTATAACTTACCATCATAGGTAAAATATGTGGTACTCATGGATAAGTAAATAAGTCTAATAATGGAAGCTACACTCAGCCTTATTCCTTGTTTTATCTCTGCATGTTCCTCCAGAGTTTGTATCAGCTTGAATAGCTCCCTGGACAGGAATTTTTATTTGTACATAGACATAACATCAAAACTTACTAGCCTATCTTTTTCTGAAATTGTCTGTTGATCTAGCAATTTAACAAAATCATACGAATTTTTAACTAAATATTGCCAATAATTGGCAGAGTTTCTTAGTTGTACGCGTAAAACCGTGAGATTGTATACATCACGCTTCCTTTATTTTTTACAATTAATCTTTGTGAACCTTAGGGAGACCGTAAATCTTAGGGACCCTTGCATCTCTCTGGAGTAATGAATTCATTTTCCACTTCTCCATTTCACAATTACTTACAAAATTCTTAAGCGCATCCTTTAGCCTAGTCTTAAGTCTTTCTGTTTGGTCTCTCAATAAAGGTCTATACGTATCATTGTCATTTAGATGAACTAGCATTTTTTCTACATAACTTGATTTAGCCATGACTACCACTGCTCCACCTTTGTCAGTTTTTGTTATGATTATATTACTATTACACGGATATCTAGAAATCCTACTAAAATTATAATTTTTCTTAGGCGGTATTATATGGTCAAAATGAGGGATCACTTCCAGTTCAATACTAATCTTTAACTCTTCAGACAATCCATCAGTTGAGCTAATTAATTCAACAAGTATTTCCAGAGAATGATTTACCTGATTTGGAAGAGCAAAATGTAGTCCTCTTTCCAATAAAATTTCTACTTTATCCTCCAGAGCTGTACTAGATAAATTGATTACCTTATCCTTCTCCACTTTGTTACAACCATGGTTAGTAAGACTTACCTTAGGCGCAAAGTTACTTGACATTATTCTAATTCCTAAATTCCGGAGCTTCTTATCATGTATCTGATGCGTAGTTCTGCCAGTCGCCTCTCCTAAAGCGTCAGCCATGTCTTGTAACTTAATGAAATCCACATCATTCAATATTTCAGAGAAGGATTGCCTAAGCTTAGTTTTGGTTCTAATTAGTCCGTTTAGTTAATGCTTTCTTTGATCCTAGTTTTAACTAAACCACACGATACCTGATCAAGTTTCCTATTTGTGGATGTCGGTAGATTAAAACGTCTAGAGATGAAACAACAAATAGGAACAACATTATGAGAAATACACATTAAAAAATCTAAATCCAATAATTTTCCGGGATATAGTTTTCTTGGTTATAGTGTAACCAGAAAACAAATGACAAGAAGTCGAACCGTACGTGCATTGTAGATGCGAAGATAAACTGGGTTTCGATGAATCTCTTAAGATAACATTATTAGGGGGACTTTCATTTCGTATGAAAGCGAATGAAGAAGAGATTCGTTGAATACGCGTTTTACATTATAGACATTTAATATTCTTCTAAAGTAACATTGCTTCCTCTTGTGAACTTCGAATAGATGGGAATTTTGTTTATGCTTCTTTCCATGGAAGTTGCAACTAGGCAACATTGTTTAGAATGTGCTAACGTATAGGTGCTCCTGCTAGAGGCTCCTCCTTGAGGTCGCCAATTTCGCTTATTTGATTTGTATTTCCTGAATTTTCTCTGTGCAAGTAGTCTAACATCAACTGTCGAGTTGAATATAATCAACCAAACCCATTGACGTAACCTGAAATAGTGACTCGTGTGCTTAGCTTATTTCATTCTGATAAATAGGCACACCCTCTACAATTAACATTTACGAATATTTTGCTGTTGGGCTCAGGTCAACGACCTTCAATCTATTCGTATAGCCTCTTAGAGTCGCTATAGGCTAACCAGGTTTGTTAACCACAGTATTGGGAGAGCCTCTGCTTGTCTTTCTATTGCCATAGTTCTTGCAGTTGTGCGGAGTTGAGTAGCCAAAATGCTTTTATGGGTCTTCACAGGCGGTTTGTAACATCTGCGTCCGGTTAACATTAATTATGATATTGTCGTAATGAAAGTGTAGCCAAACGGAGCTGGTTGGAGGCGCCGATTAAAGTTTATGCACCAGGAGTGAAAGTTTACCGGGCAGTTTACTGAAAGTTGAGGGATTTCAACGCTCCTCTTGGGCAAATTTATTCACATAGAAAGGCTAGTAATCACTTTTAAAGAGGTCTACCAGAACACAGTTTTCCTCGCGGCTCAGCATTCGCAGTGTCTTCAAAACGCCCCGCCCGTCATACGGTACTGCCAGCATTATTTGTTACAATTCCAACGATGCTTTGAGGAGAAAGGTTGATTTTGCCAGTAGATTGAGGTCCTGTGCTTTTCATCCACATTTAACTCTAATATCGACCACACTCAGGTCCTGGCAGAATTCAAACCATGCACAGACGAGTTGAGACGGAAATACGATGTCATTGGGCTAATCGGCAAGAGTGCCGTTGTTTCAGCTGCAAGTATGATGTTTCGGGTAAATCCGGCACCTTGAGAGTGTTTCTTGACTGGGGACGCTTTTGTGGTTAGGCGACTGTGAATTTTTATTTAAACTTCACATTAGCCCTGTGACTTTGAGGTTTTCTCGACCAAATCCATCAGAGCCTAGATTGAACATTGACTATTTTTCGTAAATAAGTAGAGTTTCGAGACTACCAATAGAGCAGTTATATGAGGTGTATTCACCAAATTTTGTTTAAGGTAAAATTTTCCCACAATGATATGAGTAGAGCTGACGCCTCCATTGAATTCCACATAGCCTTGCTTTCCCAAAAGTTGTTCTCATTCAGGGTGGACTGCAATTTCGACCTCGCAATTATCAACTCCCCCAGCGGGAGTCGAATCGTGACAGTGCAGTATGTGGCTCGACACGTTAACCACTCAGCCACATTGCCACGAGTGCCCTTGGGTTGCAGGGCGGAGGTTAATTTCAAGGAAGGCCAGGTCTTTTCTCACATCACATTCTTTGGTGGGATTGTCGATAAAGCAAACGTATTTTTGCTATAACAATAGACTACATTAAATATTTTTCATATATAAGTGGAGTTTCGAGACTGCTAGTAAATAAGTTATATGAGATGGTAGTCTCGAAACTCCACTTATATAGGAAAAATATGTAATGTAGTCGAATGTTATAGAAAAAATACGTTTGCTTCATTGGAAATCCCACCAAAGAATGTGATGTGCGAAAAGACCTGGCCTTCCTTGAAAGTAACATCTGACCTGTGACCCAATGGTACTCATGGCAATGTGCCTGATTCGTTAACGTGTCAAGCTCACATTCTGCACTGTCACGATTCGACTCCTGTTGGGGTTTTTAATGAGACCTATGCGAGGTCGAAACTGCAGTCAAAGCCTGGATGATAACAACTTTTGGGAAAGCACGGCTCTGTGAAATTCAATGGAGACGTCAGCTCTATTCATATAATTATGGGAAAGTCCTACTACCAGTTTTTCATCACCTTAAACGAAATAGGGTGAAGACATTTCATATAAACATTGGATATAAATGCCAAGAGACTTTTCGGAGCGGCAGCCTGCCCCATAATCTTTGTGGTCGTCCCATACTTTATTTCAATATTTTTGGGTGCATTTTAAACACAATGCTATTCAAAATATCACTATGGCATGTTTGAGGTATGTTAAATTCTCTTTAGTAGATGGACTCATTTTATTCGAGTGCGGGTTTACACTTAAATCCTCTCCCACACATACACGTGCGTGTGTGTATTAACTTCTATACAGGATACTTTTCCTATATTGGACTGATCAAAGCCTGTCAGGTTCTCGTCATCAAGACTTTATGACCCAAGAAAGAACTTTGATTGAGAGTGCGTAAATCCACAAGCAACTTTTATTGAGATTATGAGATGTAAGCAAACCCCTACATCTATCTATGCCTATATATTATCGTTTTTTAGTTATGATTATATATAACCTAATGTTAACGTGAGGCCTTTGCAAGAATGAGTTCTAGCTCTGATGATGTTCATCATACTATGAACGAAAGCTCAGCCCTCTTTCACCCGAAGCAAGCGAGGATGTCTCATGGACTTTGCCAGCCTGAGCGTAGTATTAAAGCCAAACAGCTGCAGACCAACGGGAATCGACCGTCGTCTTTTGCTGAGATCGACCTACGGAACTCTTAATCTTTCAACCTTCATATAAAATGAAAGTCTCAACAATAAATTTTGATAGATTGCTTGTACCGTATTTTGATGATGTTTATTATTGAGCAGCTAAATTAGCATTAAAGTAGTAGGTCGTAGATATGAAGACCAAGATGGTGTGGCCTTCCATTTGGTCACGGTCTCCTTTAGCTCAATAGTGTTTGTTCGACCTCGATTTCACAATTTGTTCGAAGCGCCAAGAAGACTTTGTGGAACGTACTTAATCCTTTGTCCTCTACCATAGTATTCTTGATTTCTAGCATCGGACCAGTGACTTGGTTTATTCCCAAACGTTTCGCATGCATTGCCACTAAGAGATGTCATAGTTAGCACAGAGTTACAACTTATCAGAGTTACCAAGTAAATGATCCGATATTGGAAATTATGAATACTCCGGCAGAGGACGCAGGACCAGGTACGCCCAACAAGGTCTCTGATGCTCCGACCAAGTTGTGCAAACCAGCACTTAAATTAGTAAGATTTGGCCTCCTTGACCTCGGTAAGTATTGTTGTCCTTGATTAAGTGTCAACTCGATGCCCTCCTGGTTGGTCACCTCTCTTTACAATGACAACCTTGTTGCCCACTCTCTTTTAGCCGCGGGAGAAAGACTGAACTCTTCACCGGGTCCAGTGTCCACTCCAGGCTCACTGAACTCTTCGATGGACGCCCAGCCAGCAGGTTCCACGCTGCCCAGTCCCGGCGTCAAAAGTCACGTCCTCTCCAGCCCTGGCACCTCATCTCCAAGACCCCGATTTCCCAGAGGGTCGTCAACCGCTCTGCAGTCCATAGAACTCGGGCCTCCGGTGGCTGCTAGGCCAATCGACAAGCCCGCCTCCGGCGGCGTCACCTTGGCGCCCTCGCCTGCCGCCATCGCCACTGGTCGCGAGGGCAGTAAACCTGTCGTCGGCGGAAGTGTGACTTTGGCCGCGTCTTCCAAAGCCCCTATGCCCCTACGGCCGGCCGCCTCTAATTGCCCTCCTCTTCTCGCCAAACGTCGGCCCTCGATGGTCGTCATGGCCGCCAGAGGCTCGGCTCGCCACCGCCGTTCCGGCCGCCTTCTCACTTCCGGCCCTCCCGGCTACGTTTCGGGATTGGTTCGAGGCCGGTTTCAGTGCCATCAGTGCGAGCTGGTCTGCGAGAAGCTCTGCCTGCTGCGCAAGCACTTCCGCATACACACCAACCTGCGCCCCTTCAGATGCCTACAATGCGAGGTCTCGTTCAAGACGAAGGGCAATTTGACCAAGCACATGAAGTCACGCAGTCATCATGACAAGTAAGTATACATGCTCTGCAAGTAATCTCGAAAGCCTACAAATAAGCACAAAATAAGTAATGTAGTCTATTGCTACAGCAAGTACTACGTTGTTTCATTACAGAATGTGATATGAGATAATGCCACCCAAGGGCGCTGGTGACATTGTGTCGTAGTGGCTATTGCATCGAGATTATACGCTGAACTGTCATGGTTCGGGTCCCTCCGAGGGGCGAAGTCGAATTTGCAATCTACTTGAGCCTGGATTAGGATATCTTTTGGGAAGCAAGGCCATGTGAAATTAAATGGAAACGTGTGGAAGAATTCAACTACCAGTTCTTCATCACCTTAAACAAAATAGGATGAATACATTTCATTTATATGATCTAATGTTAGTCTCGAAAACCTACCTTTAAATGAAAAATAAATAAGCGAGAAGCCTTTTCACATGCATTCATCATCTGTCTGGTTTTCTTGTTTTAACACAGAAAATTTTTTATCCACCTCAGGCTTGTCTACTGGTCTGCTGCCCTCCCGCAAATAGACACGAGCCCAAAAAGTTGTTTCTGCAGTTCTGGCATAAATGTTGAGGCCGGTTTATGGCAAATTCTTGGGATATGATTTTCCACCACTAGCATTCACTCCCCTTACCTCGTTTAAATAATGTGTACCTGCTGTCGCAGCGACCCTGATGAGTGCG